AAAATAGGGCACACAAAGGCATTTACTGCACTCCAGACACTCGATAGTGTATTTAAAGATCAAATGCGCGTTAAAAGACCTCGCTTCAAGAGGAATGCGCAGGAATAAGGTGACTTGGGTAACAAGGTTGTCTTTTTGAGTAAGTCAAAGTTATCTTCCTTCGAACTATTTCTAAGTCACAGCCCAGGGGTGTTGTTGGTCTTGCTCAAATTTTCGAAAGGTCTAGCATTTGTGTGTGGGTTAATTGTGTATGTCTAATGTAACTTGGTGCTATGTTTTAGTCAGATTCTCTTTACTGTCCGTTTTTTCCTTTACAATTTAAAAGGGAATCCTCTATTTGCGCCATTTTCAAACTGTGTTAAATCATTTAAGGACATCGGAGCCGAGAAAGGAAAATATTACGCTCTCAACTTCCCATTACGTGATGGCATTGATGATGATACCTACGAGGTCTGGTATAATTCCTCATTATTTTGATTTCCCTTGCTATTACCTAATCTGCTGTCTACTTTTTTATTCCAGAGTATTTTCACCCCCGTAATACGAAAGGTTATGGAATGTTTCCAACCATCTGCCATAGTTCTTCAATGCGGTGCTGATTCACTTACAGGGGATCGACTCGGTTGTTTCAACCTCACCTTAAGAGGTAATACATTCATACATTCGTTTTCCAGGCGGCTTATTTTGTTGCTGAAAAACCTAAGGCGGCGTTCATAGTTTGCGTTAGCGTTTTGAGCGTTTAGCATAGGTGTCGATCTAGCGTTTTGAGCATCTTGGGAGAATCAGCGTTTTGGACGTAAAGAGGAAGTGTATGTAACGTTTTTGGAGAAGCCCCAGCAGCGAAACGCCAGTGTTTAGAGGGTTTTGTGAGAATCGGCATTACGCGCTGCGGGCAAAAGGCAGCTCAACTCAAACTGCCCGTGAAGAGGCTGCAGGGGCCGGAAGTAATGACGCTTTCGTTCTGGAGGGATGTACAACCGTCAGAGTGCGTTCATACTTCGCCGCTCAGTCGTCGCACACCTTAAGTCAAGCGACTGAGACCAAGGGCGCTCCACTGCCGAGCGGTATGCTGCTGCTGCAGCTAGTCTAATTCACCTCTTGGTATAAACGATATTTTCACTGTTCTTCCATGGTTTTTTTTGCTTGTTCTCAGCAAGGGATATTTTTTCTATTTATCTCGACCTCTCTGTGACGCACTTTTGGTCACAAGAAGGGATGTCAGCGTTTACATATCACGGTTGCAGACTCTTGAAGTGACATGAATTCTCCTTTTTGAAATTTTGGAATTGAAATTTGAAAACACAAGAAAAAAGATCAAAAAAAACCTCTTATTCTGGACCGATTGGTGTAGCTGACGCAATGTCACTGTTTGACGGTGAAGGCCATCGGTCACATTCGCTTGACGCTGGCGATTCAGTTGCGAACTATAAACTCATTGACGCTGGCGATTAAATTAAGTTGCGAAATATAAACGCATTCTTTGATATGGTAAATATAATGGTTAAGCTGATCGAAACTTATGCTATATAATATTTAATATAGTAACAATTAAGGGCATGGTAAATGTGTTGCCTATCTGAAAAAGTTTGGTGTTCCCTTGATGATGGTCGGAGGAGGAGGATATACAATCCGAAACGTTTCTCGATGCTGGACTTATGAAACCTCTGTAGCCGTTGAAACTGAGATTGCCAATGGTAGGCTTTTTAGAATGATTTTCTCATCAGTCAGCTAGAGTGAGTAATGTGTAATTCATTTCAGAGTTGCCCTACAACGACTATTTTGAATACTTTGGTCCTGATTTTAAGTTGCACATCGAAAAGTCAAATATGACCAACCAGAATACGAGGGATTATTTGGAGAAGACCATGGTCTTGTTCTTAATTTGTCATAAGTTGGCTAGAATCATAAGGTTTTTTTTCTAGGTGAGGCTGTTCGAGAATCTTCGTGAGTTGCCCTATGCGCCATCTGTGCAGATGCAACCGATCCCACCGGACTCACTGCATATCCCCGATAAATCGTTTGCTGCTCGATCACTCAGACCCAGATGTAAGTCACTGTTTCCTGCAGGCTTCATTCACGGAACTCATACCATTGAGCGCCGTACCTCTCTTTATTCCCTTATGACTTTAAAGAAAATCTCTGAATGAATTACCGTAGAAGACGATGATTGCTGATGAGTTTTGTCTGCTGCATAAATACCACGTTTCTTCCTTCATGCTTTTAATAGGAAGTCAAGTTTACTATGTTGGTGGCTCTTTCCCATACACTGTTTCAGGTTCGGGAACCTTTTGCTGTCACCGATTCTCATATTGAACACGAGGGCGAGTATTATAATGCCGGCAAGGAGGGCGCTAAGGACATACAGGTAATTTAACTCTGTCTAGACGAGTTTTCTTCCATGAGACATTAGACGCAGCTTCGTTTCTTCTGTAAGTGTCGTATTTTGCCTTATCGGGTGCATGTATTGCTAGCAACACTCAAACCCACGAAATGCGAGTACTGCTGCCGTTTGCATATCACTACCTAAAATTTTGGAACCTTTTCTACTGAAACTAGCTCATGGTTAATCACGACGCTGAATTACGAATGCGCCACCAATTTTTCGCGAACACGCCTCGTGGCTACCATTTTCACCAAAATCGGTGGTCACACCTGTGATTTATGGTGCTGATTACGAATGTGATATTTATTTTCGGCTAGCGCGCTGCTTGGTGACAGCTTTTTATCAGCTGCTACTTCGCGTCGCAACTTTTTCCTCGATTTTGTCACATCTTTCCATGTAAAGGTAACAGAGAGAGGTCGTCACATATATGTCATCCATTTTCAACGCTGAGGTTGGGGATGAATGTCATTTCGTGCTCGCGGTGTTCATGTGACCTAAAGGAATTGAAGAAGGAAACACTTCCGCGAAAAGAACGGGCGGGCCAATCCGGCTTCGTCCGCGCGAAACACTGGCTCAGTCCACTCACCCATTCTTGCCTTCAGCGGAATCAGGGAAATCGGAACGTACCCAGCTGTTTTCGCGTTATTGCCAAATTCGCGCTTTTGCCAGAGTGTTCGTTTCTCCCAAGTTGTGTATTTACTGATTTTCACCGTTTCTCCGATTCGCTGGGGTCGCACACCGTGAAAATTGTCTTTGTGGCCTCTGTAATCGTAAAGCGCAATTAGTAAAGAACTGATGATTCGAGAATGGCGCTAGGACAAATCTAGCGTGGGCGCTAGAAACGATTATAATAATTGGGTGACTCAGTAACCCTTGTGACGAAGATGAATGAAACCCAGGCTGGAATGTTCCCAAAAATGTCACGAGGAAATGCAGTGAACTGCTGACTGACAGTTAACTTCCAAAATGAACAAAATAATTCGAAAACAGCTTATTTCGCGTCATAAAAATGTAACTCCCGTAACATGAGTGAAAATTTCCTGAAAAGGCGATTAGCATGGTGATGATTATCCAGTAAAAAACAAGTAAGCGCCTGCATAGGCAATGATGCATGCGGCAGTCACTGTGTTAATTTTGTTCGGACTATCTTTGTGCGTTTGTCACCACCTCAACATAACATTTTCAGAGCCACAAGCGACCAGCCGGTAGTCCGCTAGGAAAAGACGGTGAAGACAAGAAGCCTAAAACTGAAGATGATGGAAGTGCCCCGCCAATTTAATCTGCCGCAGAATTATCATTGTTTGTTCCTCAAACCTATTGTAATCTGGGTTGAATCAACGCCAGCATTGGTTCAGATGACTTTGGGACGGGATCTAGTGTACGGTGATCTTTTCACTTTAACATTACTATCTCGCGATTGCACCCTCTTGAGCATATTATTTCCGAGAAGTTTTTTTCTCATCTTCATTTAACGCCACTTCTTTTCAAGTCCGGTTAGATAAAGTCACCGTACGTTAGACTCTGCCCTTAGAAGTTAAGGTTATTGTTCTCGGTTTAATCATGCGGGGAAATCTCCAGCAACTTTGATCAGCAGTGTTGAATCTCTTCTAAAATAATAACCAAGGTTTCATTCGTAATTTAAATGCAATCTTCGTCATTAATGTACGGGCTGGATCCCAAATGGTTAAACATCAAGACATGAAAATGATTGATGGGATAATTTTGTTTAGGATACGGTATTACTGAATTGAATGTGATTTATTTTCAATCTAATGTTTACGATATGATCTTCACAGTGTACGGTTTATTTTTGTCCTTTTGAATTAATTAATCCTTATGCGATGTGCTAACGATTTCTTGAAGCAATTGTTGAAGGAAGATTTCTGTTTTTTTTTGTAGATTCGATTGTAAAATGTGGATCACTTTGTTGTATAGTTGTTCTTAACTTGTGTTGGTGTTTGGCACATGTTATGGGGTGCTCCGTGCCCGATATACTTCGAAATTCTCTTTTTTTCGCTTTTCTTTTAAAAAATAATTCCATACAGAGCATGTCTGACGGTGATGCAATCAGTGCTTCGGATTTCTACGTAAGGTATTACGTCGGGCACAAGGGAAAATTCGGCCACGAGTTTTTGGAGTTCGAATTCCGACCAAATGGGCAGCTTCGATATGCCAACAATTCCAATTACAAAAATGACACAATTATTCGGAAAGAGGTGAGTTTAGAAGTTTTCTTTGGTGAAGTGATCAATAAAATCGATTTAAGGCATTCATATCCCCAGCAGTACTGCAGGAACTGAAGAGAATAGTGGAAGATTCGGAAATCATGCAGGTTTGCTGACATTTTCCCTTGCACAGCTTTTTCTTGAAGCAGATTGCGATGTTATTAAGGAAGACGATGCTAACTGGCCAGAACCGGATAAAGTTGGACGACAAGAGTTGGAAATTTTGATGAATAATGAACATATTTCTTTCACGACGGGAAAAATCGGTTCATTGGCAGATGTTAACAACAGCAAGGTATGTCGTATCACTCGTCTTTTCATCGTTTTTCGTCTTGAAAGGAGAGAAATCGGAAATAGAAAGGTTAGTAATGTGTCGATGCGCAGCACAGCAAAGATGAACATTGCCGTAGTCACTGAAGCAATGAAAAGTCTCCGGCTGGAATCTGCTTGGATGCATTTCTCTGGGTCCCTCACCACACCGACCGCTTAGTAAGCCATGTGACAAATCATGCGATCCGTCTATCTTTTCGTGTGTACATAAAATTTTTTAAAGGCTTTTGTATTTAGTAACATGGCTGGCTAGTCGATAGAAATTGAAGACCCGTTAATTGAAGGCGGTTTGAAGACCCGTAGGGCAATTCGGTGTGGCTTCTTTCGTCATTAGTCCCAGTGTATTTATTCGCCAGTGCGTCTTCAAAGGCAAGACCCGTTCAAAAAATCTGAGTTGCGCTGCTGAAACACTTGGCAAAATGGCGAACAACAAAGAAGGAAAAAAAGGAGAAATTCGTTCGAAACGTCCCATATAAAACCATATACCGAACGGCACTCGTACGTGCATAAGGCGAAGAAAGGGCGTGGTTGGACGAGTTTTCATGTGTTGGAGCCAGCTCGTTCTTCTTATCTTCTCTCTATCACCATATGAAATGGAGAAAGTTGGTAGCGGAACAACGGCTCCATCAGGTAGCAGTTTAGAAATAAAATAGGAGCTATGGTTCCGTTGCGAGCGAGTTGCGCTTTGGTCACGTACGGGGCGTCCCTTTAAGTGCAAGCAGTTCCGACGCTGTTGATGCTGAAAGTAATGAACAGAAAGTTCTTGAGTAAAATCAAAAAATATCCCTTTTGTTGAAAACTAACGAGAAAAAGCCAGCTCGCCGTCCCCTCGCCAAAAGCCCTATAACTGATATGTTAGCCTCCACCCTCTCCTCCCCCACTTAATACAAGAAAAAACTTATTTTTTTGCTGCCGTAGTCGAGATCATATCACAGAATTCGCGTGGATAGCAACGGAAGTGTTTTCAGCTTGAAGGTTTACAAAGAACTCTGGAACATTAAAAAGCCAAACTAAAAACAGAAAAAAAGAACAGTTCCAACGATTGCTCTGCATCAACAGCATCAGTCCACTGGACCCATGTCCTGCATGGTGGCGAACGCAGTTCAGTGGATTGGTGTATGGGAACATCTTTTCTCTTTCTGTCTTTCTCTTTCGTAAAAGTCACCTTTTTAGGACCCTGATGGTCTTCGTTCGTTTTACTACCTGGTTCAAGATCTCAAATGTCTTGTGTTCTCCCTGATTGGACTTCATTTCAAGATCAAGCCTATTTAACCGTATTCCGCCTCATCACGGACATTTTGAGCCCGTTCGTTGTATGATTAATTTAATGTCAAACATTGTCGTGTTCATGCTGTTTACAAGCGACTACGTTTTTTGTTTACGTGTTGTTTCCAATAAAGTCTTTGATATAAAAGACAAGTTTATTTCTGAATTCATATTCTAAGTTTATGAACCGTCAATAATGCGAAAATGGTACACTTTATAAGGAATTTAGACATGAAATAATTGGAATACATGACATTCAGCGACGTTCGCAGTACTTGGCGATGTAGTCACGTGCACGGTGAGTAAACTGTTCGCGATTCGTTGACCAGAGTTGTGCAGCTTGCATGTTCAGTGCATCGTCAAAATCGATGAGATCCGTGAACAAGGATGACAAGCCATGAATCACCTAAACAGTCCAGAGTTTTAATAAATTCAGTGATAGATACTACATTTCTAGAGTATAAGGCGCATTCATTTGCATGGTCGTGTAGACAACACGTTAAGAGCTTGATTTTTCATAGCGAGAAGTTTTTATTTTTGAATTCTAATCTTCTGATGGATTCTTACACAGTTATTGTTAAAGGCACGGTCCGCGATAAAGGGTATAGGTGATGGTGTAGAAATATGGACGAACTCTGATCAAGTGATTTGTCTGTAAAGCATAAATGCCAAAGAGAACAAAACGCATTTATTAGGACCCCTGCAGCTTCATACTATTGTACGGGTAAAAGACCAAAAGACCGCGCGCTGGGATGCCGCTCACATAGTATTACTTTTGGCAGGAAGGCGGTGTCTGGAGGCGGAGTCACTGGAAAAGGGAGGTACCACTGGAGTAACTTTGCGCCTTAATTCCTTTACCAAACAACTTTCCACCGCGAAATTGGCACAGGATTGCCCACTGCGGACCTTTTTACCCATACAACCTTTTGAATTTTCACAAGTCATCGCGGACCGCTCCTTTAAAGAAAGATCATTGACGTAGATTGGAACAAAGAAAAAAAGGAGGCAAAGGCAAGGAGCCGGAACGATTCTTCTTCTTCTTCAGCGTTTGTCCCGCTCTGTAGCGGGGTCCGCTCGTCTTATTTTGTCACGCCACTTCTTCCGATCGAATGCTTGGTCGGGAAAGAATGTGCCTTATACCCCAAAAACAGGGTAATTATTACGCGCAGCGTCAAGAGTCACTAACGCAAAAATGTGGAAGTTTTCAAAAAAATATGTTATTTAATTGTTCCGCAATAGCATGTCTGGTTGTGATGCGCGATTTTCGAAACTGCTGCTCTAGAGAGAGCCAAACAAGTAATGGAAGAGATTTTTGTTATTTGTTAATATAACGAACTTGAAAAGGGAATAATTTAGCTTTCAGTCACCAATCTGTCAAACAGTGAAGTTTTTGAGTTTTGAGAGTTTAAAAACTACGGTATCCGACCCGGTGAAAGTCACGAAATTGCGGCTGCAGTAGACCAAGACACTAGTTGTTGTTCAACACATTGACGACCGCGTGATACGCATTGAATGCACGCTTTGTAGGCCACGTGGGACCGCGTGCATTGAATACGAATCACGATCAACAAATCCATATCTTTCACTAGTGCATGATTTTTTGTTTAGTATCTCAAATTCATTCTATAGTTCACTCCTTAGTATACTTGTACAATGCGTAGTCTATGGAATAATTCAGTACACACTAGTTTAGCAAAGACTTCTTGGGGAAAGAACACCATTTGCTTGGACTGGTTTGCTCCTCAACTCTGGATTGGTTTGCTCTTCAACACTTTACTAACAAATGCAGATAAATACCATATTGATAATGATAAAAAAATATAAGATGAAGGATTCTGAGTCCTGTAGAAGGCACGACTTGTGTTTTTTATGAAAACATTGGTTACAGACAAATTTCCGGCACCTAGTGCAACGAGAGTTGACCAGCCTAGTTTTTTCCATAGTAAATGATTGACTCACTTCATAATTGCTCTCTCAACTAGGTTTTCCGATCTTACCTCCAAAAAAGCGCCTCGTGGGACCGCGTGAATTGTATGCGTACCGCGCTTGTGGCGTTCGAGAAAGGGCGCGTGTCCCACGAGGTCGAAAAAGTAAACCCGCGCGGTCGTCAACGTGTTAACACGAGATTCCTAAAGTATAGGCAAGACGCTAAACCTAGGCTTGAGCCATGGCCAAGACATGGACCCGGATATTAGAGTGAGTTCATAGTTCACGGTAGCGATTTGAGCTCCCCGAGCGACTAGAGAGGTATAGGTATCGATCCACCAACGTTTCCAGCGCTTACCAGTGTTTTGCGTAACCGCCAGTTTTCAGTGACTGGGTAAGTAAAGTTATCGATCCAGCCACCACGGTTTTCAAGGATACTTGGTACCTACACTTCCTGGTAGCTGAAAACGCCGGCGGACCTAAATACGCTGGACGCAGGCAGATGAAAACGGTGGACACTTTCCTGGTCATTCAAAACGCTAAGAGATGCTCAGGACGCTGAAACAAATCACGAACTCTCTC